GCCTGCTGTCTATCTATCTTGCCCCCTCTGCGGCTGCGCACTGCGAGGAGTTTTATAGACCTCCGCCAGATGCCGTGCCTGCAATGCCAGATGCCATGCCTGCAATGCCAGCCGACGAATTTGTGGATTTGACGCTTGGCTCGGAAAGTTTCTGAGAGAGGCCTGCCACATACTCCGTAATTGCCATCAGCATAGGTGTCCTTTTCAGCCTAGTTTGGTTAAAAATAGAAGGCCTGGTTTAGATGGGTTTTATTCCATTTACTAGGGCCATCTATTTGTCCAAAAGGACACCTATGACCATCAGCAAAACCCTCGCAGGATTGCTGGGTTTTTTCTCTGGCTCTTCGGGGGCTCGGTGGAAGCCATATGTCCCGCGCGAATCGAACGCCCCATCTCGAAGAGCTGAACAAATAGAACCTCGGTCTTGCCAAGCTCACTTCCGATCGAGTTCCGTTTCGAACTTCAGTGACTTTTGGAGCTGAGCAATTTTGGTGGCCAAAGGAAAGGTTGGTTACTTTTGTTGGGCCATCCTCTCGAATCGGACCTGTATCAGATCGCTTGATCCATGTCCATGGGCGGAGCGAGCGCCCCGAAGCCAAGGAGCTTTACGGGCCTCACTCTTACTCTCACGCAGGCGCGGAGTGCCCTTCAAACGACGGGACCGTGCCTGGGGTCGAAATGGGAATTCTCGAAAACGGTTTAGATGCGTTTTTTTTTTTTGGGATTTCACGTGTTGTTTCCAGTATGTTTTACTTTTTTCGTAGTCTTTTAATGCTCTTTTAATGTTCTACAGGGGTGGATCCACAAAAGCCACATCAAAACCGTTTTCTAGAGGAATCTCCTGGTTTCCTTTTGGTTCGCCTTAGCGGCACAAAAGGGGAGCGATAGTGATTCTATTATCCCAACCTCCTGAAGGTAGTGGTTTGGGGGGTACCGTGCAAGAATCTTCAGCAGACCGCCCCCTCAAGAACCTCAAAACCTGCGAGGAGTTTGGGGTATAGTCCCCACCACATGTGGAGATGTTTGCCCTTTGGATTCGACCCAAAGGAAGACGATTGTTGTTTGCTTGCACCGCATGGAAGGGCTTTTTGATTTGCAGGTGAGCGAGATTTGCTGTACAACCTGAGGTGGGTTCAGGCAATCAATTGGGTATGGGGCAGTTTCACGCCTGTGCTCATGTCCCTGCTCACGTGCTGAAATCATTGCCTGAACCCACGCCAACCTTACAGCAACGCCGGTTTGATGTCTCCTTCTTTTCGATGAGGCCTCTGTTCTTTTTGGGGGGCGGATCTAGCCTGGGCCCTGAGATGTTTTAATTGTTTTTTCGTTTGGCGGTGGCCGTGTCGTGGGGCCGGCCGTCGGTTGGTCGGTCGGTCAGTCAGTGCTTTTCTGGCTTGTGTTCATGCGTTTTGCATGCTTTTGTGGCTTTGGCGGTCTTGCAGCATTGGCTTTCTACATCCTCAACGTCAGCGGCAACCCTCAGTAGCATCACTGCCAAGATAGTGTTTGTAACCCACCCTAGCCCAGCACTAAACAATTCCTGAAGCACCAAGAGTCAACACAAAACAAACCCTAAGCAAACCCTATACCAACCCTGAACCTACCCGAAACCCCAAACCAACTCTCAGCCAACCCCAACCTAGATCAATCCTAAACCCAACCTAAACCAACCGCAAATCCACCCTAAAGAAACCCAACCCCCGCCCAACCCCGCCCAACCCCCCCTCAAACAATTCTTGAACCCACCCTAAACTCAGTCTAAGCCAAAGCTTCACGTAATTCTGAGAGTGTTGAACACGATGCTGGGGATGTAGACGGTGCTGGTGTGAAAACCGGTGCATTGTCTTAGCCAATGCTGTAAATGCGTCATTCTGGCGCCTGCCGAAAGTAGGGCCGCGAAAATGAAAACACAGTTTCACCGATCTAAAGAACCTTTAGTCTGTTTGAATGCATCTGTTTATTTACTTGACTTAGTATAATTTACATCTTTGGATGCGAACTTCCTTATGGTTGGATTGTTTGCAAAAGGTTTTCTCGGTCTATTCCATTCCTGATTTTCTTTGTCGGTTGTTCAGACAGCACGTTTTCTTCCATAGCAAGAATATTTTTATCTGGGGTTGGGGTCATATCCGTATTTGGAGATTGCGGGGGGCGTTTACCCTGTGCAACTTGACACGCCCAAAAAGAGGAGAACAACCCGCTGCGCTCCAATTCCACTCTCCGAATCCATTTTGTTTTTCCCCTGGATGCCGGTTGGAAGTGGAAGTTATCTCAGAGTGGCAAGCTGAAGGCTGTGGATTTTTGTCTCACTGCACCTCGTGGACTTGCTTGCCTGCTTTTCTCATCCCAGCCCTTCCACTCTTATGCACACCGGAGTGGGTGCACGGAAGAGGAGCCAAAAAAGGGTCCGGTTTTCCCTGAAGCAAGAACCAAAAGGGCTCCCGAGATGGAGCGAGCGCCTTTAGCTCCCAAGCCCTAGGTGTTGTTTTCGGGCGGAATCCCACACAATCGCACGCCGTAGGTCGGTCCCCAAAGGAGGCGTGTCGGGCTGAATGAAGCCCACAATCGCATTCAAAAATGTGGGTATGGGTCAAAATCAATTAACCCACCAGGAATCGGACCGCAGGTTTTAGTCTTTGTTTCCATTTACCAGGGCAGCCCATTTTGGGGTTACCCCATTTTTGACAACCACACCCATTTTTTTCGTTGCGTCAGGGCTGCCCCTCAGACTGCTACAGCGACGTGGAGTGCACTGCCGCCACCAAGCCGGTGCCCTACCCCTTCGAAAATGCACCTCGGAAGTGTCGGAACGCTTAGAAGAGAGCCAGAGAAAAACCGCATATTTTAGTCCATGTGTCTTTTTTAGAGACCCTCAAAATTGTTTTGGGTTCTTTTTGGTTTCATGTTAAGCACACACACACAGAGCCCTTAAAACGACTATCCTCAGAAAAAGACGCCCATTTATCCAATTCCGGTGGGATTTCAACAAGCGAACCCTCTGCGGCTGGTCAGGACTGTGCCAAACCTGGGCAAAAGCACAAACCCTTCCGCCCACCTTTAGCATCCAGGCAGGTCGCAGGGAAGAGCGCACCTTGTCATGCGTTCCTTCTGTTTTTTCCCGTGCAAGGCCAGAATGCAGGGCGGAGGGGGCAATTCGCGAGCTGAACTCACTGTTGGAGTGCTTGGCACCAACTACGACGTCTACTTTCGCTACCTATGCCCGGGGTGCGTAGGAGAAGGGTTGCTTTTGGGTTCACACAGAAGTGGAAGGGTTGCAAGTTTGGCAACCTGAACACAAGTTTTAAGCCCTATATGTTGTCAGGCAACATGTGACCCAGATTTTGGCATATCGGTGGTGTATGCCCCAAATTAAGCACCAACCGCAACCTTTGGGATTGGGACCTTGAAGTCAGTGTTCAACCCTGATATACAAATATTATACATATATATATATATGTTCCAGGTCCCCCAGGATCGCGCCCTTTTCCCTTTTTTGGGGGAGGGGGTTCCGCTGGAATAGACAACAGACAAAAATTGGCACCCGCATTCTAAGCTCTGGAGGACCTGGTTATGAAGGGAACCGAATGCAGGTGGATAGTTGAGAGCCCAGGCTTAGGGTTTCAAATCTGGACCTAGAGTTCGCAGCCTTGCGACCTAAGCTCTCTCTGGAGGACCTAGTCCCACATGGCGACACCCGTATTTCTATGTATCTACGTACATAGAGTGTCGCGATGCTTCTTCAGGACCCGGGCCGCCGCCAGCGCAGGTGAGCTTCAACTTTCTTGGAATACCAGGTCCGCCTGTGAGCGATCCACTGGAATTTCCTCCTCCTGTGACTTTTCCCGGGGACCAGGCCGGCGAATCGTTTTTTGTGATTGTTTGTTGTTCTGATTTCTGAGGTAGAGCTTTTCAAAGTCCTTTTTGTTTTTGAGGGGGGGGGTACACAGAACACGGGGGCCTCTTTCCAAACTACGGTTTA